TTGTTTTAAAAGTCCAAATTATGAAAATTATAATTCAGAAAAAATCAGATTCTTAACCTGTTAAGCCCTGAGCCTGTTTTTCAGGTCTCAGGCTCGAAAATGACATTCCCAGAACAAATGACCATATCTTCCCTTCTAAAAGGGTTAAATTAATAATCTTTTTTCTCAAAGTAATGATAAACTTGTGAGTTGGATGTAGAAAAGTCAGAATCAATATAGATGTATTTTATTTTAAAGAAAATTCAGATTTTACATAGTAAAAAAACTGTAAATTATAGTGTCCGTCCAAAAATTATTTTTTACTTTTAGTGAAAACCACCCTTGGATGATGGGTTAGTAGACTAAAAGCTTTAGGAATCCAAAGATACCCTGTATCAAGATTGATGCAAAACAAGTGACATTTGACCTTTTTAGAGAGATTTAGCAAAAAGAAACCACTTCTGGGGTCATTTGGGTGGATTTTCCATATCTCTGGCCCCCCCTTGCTCGATTTTGATGGTTGACACCTCTTTCTGACCGTTAGAGCCAATAGAATCGAAGGGGGAGTCCCCCACACACACACGTTGTGAAGAGAAAAGGTGGGGGCTTCGCGCATGTAATTTTCAGAGTGAACCTATCTCTAGCTTTGACATCTGGAAACGGAAAAGCAGTTTTAATGCTTATGGATTATCAGAAATCATTTCAAAGGGACACAGACACATTAGATTAACCTATGGCTTAACTTCAGCAGCGTTATTATTGTTTTAATGCCATTGAAGACCACTTTGGAGAGACTACAGAGCCAAGGTAAAAATGTTAGCATTTTTAGCTACCTAGCGTCACCTGTTTTGATGTCCGTTTTTGCTTATAACGTCGCAAATACGTATAATTCAGTGGTAATGTCGGTGTCAATCGATTCTGTGTCACATCACGATGTGAAACGATGTGTTGGATGTGGTGAAAAGATAAATAATAAGGTTTTGTGAGTGATTTTCGGTGCAGTAAGGCGCTCGTTGCTAATTCAGAGGCTCAGTGTTAGCATTGTGGGTTTTCTTTTGAAAGAAAAATTAAAATGATCAGTTAGATGAGTTTCTTCCCGTTACATGGATATAAAACATTCAAAGTTTTATTAAATGAACATGCCCTCAGACACTGTTTCCTGCAAGATGTTGCGGCAGTGCCCCGGTACCGGGGTCTCTCGGGCTTAACAGGTTAAGAGTTTGGAAAAATTGCAAATTGGAAATAATGTGTAATTCTGAAACATGTTAAAGGTAGGGTAGGTAAGTTTGAGAAACCGGCTCGAGATACACTTTTTGTTATATTCCATGGAATGCTTTTAACATCCCGATAGCAATGAATATCTTAAGTGCTTTGACAAAAAATCCATAACAAAATATCCTCTGTGGAAGCCGTAATACTGTAAAAAGTACGACCAGTTATTTTAGCCGGGCCGGCTAAAATAACTGGATGGCCTACCTGCCTGTCAGCCTTCCATCTGTGCACTAACTTATCTCGTGCCCTCATTGGTCATGTGCGCGTTCGTGTGTTGGAGGAGGGGCTCTATAAGGAAGTGCCAGATTTTCTCCGGTTGTGTATTTTCAAATTCTAGCGATCTCGAGCCGGTTTCTCAAACTTACCTACCCTACCTTTAATATAGAAGAGTAAAAAATGTATTAATAACCAAATAAAAAAAAGTCAGAATTCTGACGTCTGAAGTAAAAAAATTACAGTTATGGGGAAATAGTAAGTATTATGAAAATAAATGTATAATGAAAAAATATACAATATTATTAAAAAAGTCACAATTATGATAAAAGATGTACGAAAAATCACTTCTGAAAAATGTAACAAATTCGGAGAAAAATCTGATTTCAATTAAATTCAGAAAGAAATACAAAAATCTGAAAAGTCTTTGAAATAAAAGAAAACATCAAATTCGATTAAAGGTGGGGTAGGTAATTTTGGAGAAACCAGCTCGAGTGCGCTAGAATTTGAAAATACACAGCCGGAAAAAATCTGCCACTTCCTTACAGAGCCCCTCCTCCAACACACACGAACGCGCACATGACCAATGAGGGCACGAGATAAGTTTGTGCACAGATGGAAGGCTGACAGGCAGGTAGGCCATCCAGTTATTTTAGCCGGGCCGGCTAAAATGATTGGTCGTGCTTTTTACAGTCCTACAGGCTTCCACAGATGAAATGTTTTGATGGATTTTTTTGTCAAAGCACTTAAAGCTCCCATGTCATGCTTTTCCGGTTATTACCTGTCCCCTTGTGTGTTATGAAGGTTTTTATGCATGTAAACGGTGTGCAGAGTCAAAACCCTCAAAGTACACCCTGTAGCGAGTAAAACTCTAACACAGAAAATACCTCCCCAAAACGCCTCGTTGGAGATACATCACTGTCACTGTTCAAAATGGACCAATCCGGAAGAGCTATGGTCACACCCAGCGGCGCTGGCCGCACCCTCTGCCAGCCTAACATTTACTGTTAGAAGCTCTGGTTCAGTTCACAATCGATCCAGTCATGCCAATGCCAAGGAGCTGTTTCCTGAAATGTGTGGAGAAATCTGAGCTGTTTGTCCTACCGACGGAAGAACCACGACGAAGTCAGTGGTTGAAATGTCTTTTTAACACTGTTCCTTCAGAGGTTCGAAGAACGTTACTGTGTGCGCGGCATTTCACAGACGAATGCTTCCAAAACATTGCCCAGTTTGAGGCCGGATATGCACAGCATTTGAAACTGAAGGACGATGCTATTCCTAGTTTGTTTGGACCGTTTGGAGCAGGGGAAGATTCGGGTACACAACCTGTAAGTTTGCATTGTTATTTGTGTATTTATCAAACAAGACTGTTTAAATGTGTAAACTGTGTCGGACTGCTAAGCCATTTACACAGTGCTAACTGTGCTAACTAAGTTGCTAGCGTTTCTATATATCAACTCTAATATCAGCAGATGGCCTTGCATACATGTATCTCATAGCAGGAGAATGTCTGCATTCACACACGAAATACTCATAGACAGTATACTCCGGGTGATTTGCCGTACGGTCAGTCGCAAAACGTAATTACATTATAGCTGGCGTAGCGTGTATGCTACCGAGCTAACCAACGGAGCTAGACATGGGTTTGCTCTGGAATTTTTTTTTGTTATGCCAGCTACAATGAATGTAGCAGACTACCCGTATAATATTGCAATTGTAAACACGTTCTTGCTAGCCTAATATGAATCACTAGCTTTTGTTCATAGTGGTTTTATTACACTAAACAAGCCCAGCTTACTGGGCTAACGACGTTGCTAGCGTTTAAATATATCAACTACAATGTCAGCAGATGGCCTTACATGTTTGTCATGGCAGGAGAATGACTACAGTCACACACAGAATACTCATACAGTATACTCCGGGTGATTTACCGTACATTGTGACAGTACATGTACATACTGCATGTATAGCTAACGAGGCTAGCTATACATGCTAGCGCAAAACAATGTATTCATGCCAGTTACAATGAATGACCGAACGTAGCAGACTACCCGTATAAGATTGCAATTATAAACACGTTATTGCTAGCCTAATATGAACCACTAGCTTTTGTTCATAGTAGTTTTATTACACTACATTATAGTTGCCGTTCCTCCGAGCTAGCGTTCATATCGTGTTAGCTACCAAAGTAAACAAAGCTAGGTTAGCATATTAGCTGGCAAGCTTACTGTGTTCATTAGATAGATGGATTAGATAGATCCACACTCCTACCACAACTACTACTAACAAATCTAAAACAACTAAGTTTCTCTAATATTTTGTGATTTGCATTTGATTTCGTCCAGCCAGATCCTGCCGGACAATACATGACGGGACTACCACACTGATGCATCGTCCTAAAAAAGCCCCGGCTGCGATAGGCAAGATGCCGACAACGGGGAGGAATTGATGATATACCGTGTATATATGTATATTTATGTTCATTTTGTACATTTCTAAAAATAAAGTTTAATGGAAATACTTAGTAGGCCTATCCTTTCTTCCCTGAATTATTTGCTCCTATAACATATCATTCATATATAGCAAACCATGATTTGATTTCTCATCAAACAGTAGTAGTTTATTACAGGTAAAAATAACTTACTCTTTGTTATGACCGGCTCGTAGGCCACAACGGAAAGACAAGGAGACATACACGAGTTTACAAAACCACGGCACATTTATTGTGGTAAATGCAGAGATAGGTGGTCGAGGGGAGAGGATCGCCGAGTTCGTCCTTCTGCAGCCGCTTTGGAGAGAGACAGGGGCCGCCGTGTGACTCCGGGCAGCTGGGCTTAATAGCACCTCGGCTCCGGCCAGGTGTCCGTGATCGCGCTGATTAGCCTCTTCAGCTCCACCCCATCGTAAGACCTGCAACACACCTGCACAAAGGCCCTGGGGCCGTCACACTCTTCTATAACAACAGTTGTAGGTACAGTTCGGTTAGTTAGCGTATAAAATATACGGCTGTACCGACGCCATTATAAGACTGATGTTCCGAGAGCGAGCCGAAAAAAGCACTGTTAGACATGGGCGGAGCCTCTCTGGTGGTTGACTAATCAGAACAGAGTGGCTGAGCTGACCAATCGGAGCACACTAGGCTCACAGGGAGGGAGGGGCAAGAGCTCCAACGAGTCGTTTAGTGGAGAGAGTGAATACTGCTGAATACACATACTTTACAGAGATGCTGTATGCGAAACCAATGTGAGTTTGGAAAATTGCACAGTATAAATCTATTTTAGTATACCTCAACAATGTAATTATGATCAGTGGAAATGGCCATGACATGGGCCCTTTAAGATATTCATTGCTATCGGGATGTTAAGAGCATTCCATGGAATATAACAAAAAGTGTATCTCAAGCCGGTTTCTCAAACTTACCTACCCCACCTTTAAGTATGATTTGGTCATATAAAATCAAATGGGCTTGTTTCATTTTTGTAGATCTCTGCACGACGGCCTCTCACTAACTCTTTGTCTCTCGCTGTATATTTTAGGAACGGAGAAGAAGAAAGCAAACCGAACCTCACATCTGTGACCAGTGTAACAAATCCTTCTCAACATCTAATACTTTAAAGATTCATCAATGCATCAACACTGGAGAGAAACCGTACAGCTGTGACCAATGTGGCAACACTTTCAATACTCCATTTGAACTTCAGTCACATTATCGTATTCACACTGGAGAGAAACCATACAGCTGTGACCAGTGTGGGAAAACCTTTGCTCTGAAAGGCAACCTTTCATCTCATCAGCGAATTCATACTGGAGAGAAACCCTACAGCTGTAAACAGTGTGGCAAACAATTTACTGAGAAAGGTCACCTTCAAACCCACCAGCGAATCCACACTGGAGAGAAACCGCACAGCTGTGAAGAGTGTGGGAAAACTTTCACTACTTCAAGTAAACTCACAATCCATCATCGTATTCACACGGGAGAGAAACCATACTGGTGTGAAGAGTGTGGGTCAACTTTCACTACATCAAGTAAACTCAAAGTCCATCATCGTATTCACACGGGAGAGAAACCATACTGTTGTGAAGAATGTGGGAAAACGTTCACTACATCAAGTACACTCACAGTCCATCGTCGTATTCACACAGGAGAGAAACCATACTGGTGTGAAGAATGTGGGAAAGCCTTTTCACAAGGTAGTCAACTTAAAGTCCACGAGCGCACTCACATTGCGCCGTTTTGAATAACTTTGAGAGCCAAGCCAGCTGTTACTTCTCCTAATGTCCTGATAGCTGTATTGTTATACACTCCTGAACAAATATCTGAAAACCGGGTGGAGAATTGACCAGAATTCCCATTTCGTACTGGTGGATCATAACCAGGTTGTAAGTAGAGCTTCAAACAAGCCCTAGCATGATAGGTTTCCTTTAATTCTTCTACGAGTAACTATGCTTTTGTCCTTTGTGGGAATTATTTAAAATTCTCTATTTAGTTTTTCTCATTTATTTTGTTTTCTCATGACTGCGTGATTTTTGCCGTCTGCTTTAATATCTGAAGCTGTGCACATGTATCTTGTTTTGAATTTTTTCATTAAATGTTTCAACATAGATATGCTTTGACTCATAATTCTTAATCAAGAATCAAGGTTTCTTTCCAGCTGTTATTGATTTTCAATAGAATAAATAAAGTTAACTCATCAGTGTTGCAAACTGTTATACTTTTCATATCCTGACACTGTTTGAGTTTAGTTCAAATAGCGAGTTTAAACTTTTCCATTTAGATTTAATATAAAAAATCTACATTTATCAATTTGAATACAAAAATGTGGGAGTAGTTTCATAAAGTCCATCTTTAAATCTCCCACAGCCCTCTGCAAGTTTACAAAAGAGAAGGGATTTAATTAACTCTTTCAAAATGAAATGTATTTAAATGTTCCTGTATGAAACCTCTATAAAGTCCTATATATGTTGAGACATTTTATTAAAAAAACCGTTTTGATCTTTTACATTCATTTCTTAATATCGTCTGTATATATTATACTTGCTATTCAATTATCTGTTATATCTGCAGTTGCAATTTTCGTGAGCATCGAGTTCAGAATGTGTGTTGCCCAACATCGTATTTGCTTCATGTGTGTAACTTTCACTGAATAGTTTTTATTCCAAATTTTGGTTCAATGGAAATATTTGAGTTGCTTTTTTGTTACTTTTTTTTGTATTTACTTCAGGCGATTTTCTAAAAACTAAGACACGTTAGGTATGAGAAGTGATAAAGTACATTTGTGACGTTCTTGTTTTGTTTGAATAAACATTGTTCGTGTGAAACTCTGATATAATATTATCAAATGTTCTGAACATGAAGTCAAATAATGAACATCATGTTCATTATTTGACTTCATTGTTACAGCCGTTAGTTTTCTGTATTTCTGTGTTTTCTGCTGTAATAATCTCATTTTTGCTTCTTTTGAATATGTGGCCCTTCAGCTGAAATGCTCCTCTCGAGCTCTGTTCCTAAATATCTATAGACCACCCAAATACTGTGCAAGCTTTTTTGATGACTTTACTGAACTGCTGTCTACAGTGTGTGTTGACTTTGACCGTCTAGTCATTGTTGGTGATTTTAACATCCAGGACAGAGGGGCTACATAACTCAGTGTTTCCCCTAGGTTTACTGCTTTGGGGGGGTGCTGCCTGAGCGGGGGGGGGGGGGGGGGGGGACATTGGGATATATTTCTTTTAAATCCTCTGGAGCAGAGAGAGGAGCTGTGGATTATTGTTATTGATTAATGCATCAGTGTTTCTTAGGGTCAAAAACACTAAACTCACAACTTTAAAATGAAAGCGTTTAGTTTATTTAATAAAAGAGCACATGTTCAATGTGAAAAGTGACAGTAGATATAGATTGGTTTAAAAATTAATTAAAAAAAATTATTTCTTTTTTCTTTTTAAACACCTTGAATTTTAGGGGGGGAACGGGGCTCCGTTGGCGGGGCGCAGCGCCCCTCCAAGACAATGGTAATGGAAACACTAACTGTTTTGTGTACTTGATAGCTATGGACTGACTCAGCATGTGACGGAGCCCACACACAATAAGGGGCACACTCTGGACTTAATTATCTTAAAGGGTCTGAATATCTCTAAGGTTGTGGTGACTGATGTTGCACTCTCTGATCATTCCTGTGTTTTCTTTGAGAGCTCTATTTCTGTTCACAAAAATGTTAAAAAATAGGTAACCACAAAGCGATATTTAACTGAAAATACTAGGGAAATGTTTACTCAGAATGTTTCTTCCACACTTGCCCCTCCTAACATCTCAGGAAATGAGCTAGTAGATCATTTTAATTCAAAAATTAAACATGTTAAAGATGCCATTGCTCCAACTAAGGTAAAGGAAGTGACTGGCAAGAAAATATCTCCATGGAGAAAGGCCATGACCGTGAAAACAGAAAAAAGGGAGTCGAAAAGCGGAATGCAGGTGGCGAAAAACAAATCTCCAGGTTCATTTTGAAATCTATAAAGAGACTTGGCTTTTATAATTTGGAATTGAAAAACGCACGACAGTCTTTCTTCTCTGACATCATTACCAAAAACAAAAACAACGCACGTGCCTTGTTTGCTACCGTCGACAGACTAACTAACCCCCCAGTGTCAGTAGCCTCTGAATTTCTATCCACCAGGGCGTGCAATGAATTTGCCTCCTTCTTCACTGACAAAATTCAGAAAATTAGACAAGCAGTCAGCAAATGTGTTGTCCCTATGTCCACCTAATATCAATCCAAACACCATGACACAATTCCATCAGATTAATGATAAAAACCTAGAGGACATTATTCAACTTCTGAAATCCTCCTCCTGCTGCCTTGATATTATTCCAACAGGATTTTTCAAAGATGTTTTTCATTGCATGGCCTCAGACCTACTTCATATAGTAAACAAATCTCTTCACTCAGGTGTTTTTCCACAGGCCCTGAAAACTGCAGTCATTAAACCGCTATTAAAAAAGAATAATAGATGGTTCAGTAATGAACAATTACAGGCCCATATCAAACCTGCCATTTCTAGGTAAAATCATTGAAAAAGTTGTTTTTCAACAGTTGTCAATGACAAGGTAGTCAACTTAAAGACACCCACATTTACATAACCATTTCACCAGGAGACTATGCTCCAATTCAAACACTGAGTAAGTGCATTGAACAAATCAATGACTGGATGTGTCAGAACTTTCTCCAATTAAACAAAGATAAAACTGAGGTAATGGTTTTTGGAGCCAAGGCAGAACGTATAAAGGTTAGCGCTGAGCTTCAGTCTGCAATGTTCAAAACAACAGATAAAGCCAGAAATCTAGGTGTAGTCATGGACTCTGACCTGAGTTTCAACAGTCACATTAAAACAGTTACTAAGTCAGCCTACTATCACCTAAAGAACATATCTAGGATTAAAAGACTAATGTCACAGCAGGATTTGGAAAAACGTATCCATATTTTTATCTTCAGTAGACTCGACTACTGTAATGGTGTCTTCACAGGTCTCACTAAAAAATGTATTAGAAAGCTTCAGCTGATTCAGAACGCCGCTGCTCGAGTCCTCACTAACACTAAGAAAGTGGATCACATCACTCCTGTTCTGAAGTCTTTACACTGGCTTCCTGTGTGTCAAAGAATATATTTCAAAAATACTGCTGCTCGTTTATAAAGCATTGAATGGTTTAGGCCCAAAATACATTTCTGACCTGCTGCTAAATTATGAACCATCCAGATCTCTCAGGTCTTCTGGGACTGGTCAGCTTTCTGTCCCCAGAGTCAGAACTAAATATGGAGAAGCAGCGTTCAGTTATTATGCTCCAAATATCTGGAACAAACTACCAGAAACCTGCCGGTCCGCTGCAACTCTGACTACTTTTAAATCCAGGCTGAAGACTTTTATTTTTGCCGCTGCTTTTAATTGATATATTCATATCTTAAACTGCAATGTAACTTTTATTATCTTTGCTTTTTAATGCCATTTTCTTAATGTCTTTCATTTTTGTAAAGCACTTTGAATTGCCTTGTCCCCCCCAAAGGTAGGTAAAGTCATGATTGGGGTTAAAGTCCCCTCGTAGGTGCAAGTCCCCTACGTGTGCCGTTTTGGTTTCAAGACTCTGGTTCACGGAGGACACCAAAAAAGTCCTAGAAAGACAAGGTAAACTTAACTATGTGCATTTAAAAATAAAAAAGGAATAGTTTCCGCGAAAACTAAAAGGTACCATGGGGTCAGATTATAATTTTCCAAATGGGGGTTTGTTTAGCATGAAACACTTGACATAACTAAAGGACAAGTTAAACAAGAAAGTAGAAAGAAAGGGAGGTGATAGAAAACTATTTCTGCTAAAAAGTGAGCAATGATTGAGAGTCAGAGCTAAACATTTCAGATGTGTGTATCTCACACTGCACTGTCACTTTTATTCATGTATCTTTGCTTTGAAATGAGTGTTTTTAAATGTCATTTTATAATATGTTTCTTAATGTCTTTCATTTTTGTAAAGCACTTTGAATTGCCTTGTGTTGAAATGTGCTGTATAAATAAACTTTTAGTTAATTATCCCCCCATCTCTTTCTCTTCTAAACATGGAGGCAGTGGCACAAACTCACATCTGAACCAGGGTTATTTCTAGACTCCATCACATAAGTGAGACCCTCAAAAGGATTTACATCAAGTTCCCTTTGCTTTTGCTTTTCCCCCACTCTTCCCTGCTGTCTGCCGCATGCTGGGAGCATCCTATCCCAGCTCTCTAGATGCCTCTGAAGCTTTTAACGCTGACAGCAGCACAGACTCTAAAGCTCTGTGGCGCTCTGTCACCTCTTTCCCTGCACACAGAGGCAGCTCATGTGTTTCTGAAATGCTAATCTGCTGCGCTCTGACAACTGGATTGTGACTGGAGACAAAGATAATCCAATAGACAGTGTCAGGCTGAACACGATGAAAACAGCCTGATATTTACACTTGAAAATGTGTTAATTTAACTCATGTGTAAAGAGAGGAAGAGGAGCAGAAAGCGGAGCAGCTGCTCATCAAACTCACACCTCTCTCTGAGACCCCAAAGCACAGATGGGCTTTTAACGACAGAAGTTGATAATAGTGTCTTCAAACTTTTTTATTTTGTTTCCCCCACCAAACAAGTGCTGATACCATCTCTGCTGCATACCATGTTTCTGCACTAAGAAATACATCTTCTGATAACAGTTTGTATAGAAGTGAAGAAAGCATGTGAAAGTGAACTTATTCGGTGTGTCTCTAGAGAGCAAACTATTTACCAGATCATGCCGCTTAAAAGAAAAGGAAAGAGGATCATTGGTCACTCAGAAAACAGACTTTTTTAGGATTTTCAATCCAGTTTTCTGTTTTTATCAATAAATACAAAAATGATGTCTGCTCATTTGGATCTGTGAATGTGCCCCTGGACAACTACAATACTTTTTGGACATTTCATTTTAGCAATCAGGTTTTGCTGGCAGTACTTTGGGTTCCTCTGGTGAGGTTTGTAGTGAATGGATCTCAGTGTCACTAAAATAACGTAATTGTACTTCTTCTGGTGAATAACAGTAATGTAAGTGAGTTTGAGTGACATGCCATGAAACAGACCATTCAAACCTGTTTTTTGGTAACAGACACAATCCTGTTTGTAAATAAAACATTTTTTTTTCAGAATCTGGGTTGGCTTTTAATTTTGCTGAGCCCCAGTGCTTGTGAGGCATAAAGGGATAATATATAGTTAATATAATTTGCTATCCCTGCATCTTTGGTTGCTTGCTTTGAGATGTATTTAAGATCTTTGTTTTACTGTTCCACTTGGACACGTTGCTCTGCATAAGAGCGTTGTTCTGACACTTAGTTACATGTGTCTGCCACAGAGAGAGAGTCCGCTCTACATAGAGGAGAGAAGGAAGATAGTGAGCCTCGGGGAAAGATGAACTCAGTCACACAGGGACTCCTGACAGACTGGTTCTCCCTGCTTTAATGACAGCCAGCAAACTCATTAAGCATCACAGACACACACACACACACACACACACACACACACAGATACACAGACACACACAGATACACACACTGCTAAAAGATCTATAACTCTGCTGGGGTCTTCATAGAGGAATAAAACTACGTACATGATCAGTGGAGGGTTCATCTCTGGAACCCAGGAAATCAAGCTTTATTTTGAGGGGCAAATGGTCATGATAAAAGCATATAAAGGACACAGACACACACACACACACACACACACACACACATACATACATACATACATACATACATACACTGCTATTTCAGCCTATTTCAGGTCCAATCATGAAATCATTACGTTCATATCTGTGTATCTTAAAATGCTTGTTTGGATCAGGAAGCTTTTAAGATGTTTAACTCTTTTGTTAAACGTGCTTCACCCTATTGTCAGTCAGCTGTTTTCAGCCTGTAAGAGAAGCAAACAGAAGTTAAACAGGAGTTACAGAGATAAGGAGCCTTCATCTAAGGTGCAAAGAAATATTTTGAAACTAAAAACTGTTTTCAAATGTAGAGCAGGTTGTAAGCGAGGCTCCGTTTGGGAATGAGGAAACAGTTCAGAGTGTCAGCGCTGCTCCTCCTCCTGGAATGAGTCAGAGTTTGATAAGCCCTCCCTCTTCTTCCTGCTCTCAGACACAGCCAGCTCCACTCTGTATTTCCTGGCTCCTCCCCTTTAGATCCACACTGAGGAGGATGGGTGTAACCAACATGTGGGTAAAGTACAAGAGCTGATAGGCCACATTCACTGCACACGCACATGCTGTTCAGATCACAGCTCACATAGTTTCAGCTCTCAGGAAGTGAAACTCAGACACTCGCTGCTACTGAGAGGTGAAATGGCGCAGAAAGGAGTTCAGCTGGACCGGGAAACCTTCTCTTGTTCGATCTGTCTGGATCTACTGAAGGATCCGGTGACGACTACCTGTGGACACAGCTACTGCATGAAGTGTATTAAAGGCTTCTGGGACGGAGAGGATGAGAAGAAGATCCACAGCTGCCCTCAGTGTAGGCAGAGCTTCACACCGAGGCCTGTCCTGCTGAAAAACACCATGTTAGCAGCTTTAGTGGAGGAGCTGAAGAAGACTGGACTCCAAGCTGCTCCTGCTGATCACTGCTATGCTGGAGCTGAAGATGTGGCCTGTGATATCTGCACTGGGAGGAAACTGAGAGCCTGTAAGTCCTGCCTCGTGTGTCTGGCCTCTTATTGTGACAAACACCTCCAGTGTCATAATGAATTTAATAATGTTTTTAAAAAACACAAGCTGGTGGAGCCCTCCAAGAAGCTCCAGGAGAACATCTGCTCTCGTCACGACGAGGTGATGAAGATGTTCTGCCGCACTGATCAGCAGTGTATCTGTTATCTCTGCTCTGTGGACGAACACAAAGGCCACGACACGGTGTCAGCTGCAGCAGAAAGGACTGAGAGGCAGAGAGAGCTGGAGGGGAGTCGACTAAACATCCAGCAGAGAATCCAGGACAGAGAGAAGGAGGTGAAGCTGCTTCAGCAGGAGGTGGAGGCCGTCAATGGCTCTGCTGATAAAGCAGTGGAGGACAGTGAGAAGATGTTCACTGAGCTGATCCGTCTCATGGAGAAAAGAAGCTCTGATGTGAAGCAGCAGGTCAGATCCCAGCAGAAGAGTGAAGTGAGTCGAGTCAAAGAGCTTCAGGAGAAGCTGGAGCAGGAGATGGCTGAGCTGAAGAGGAGAGACGCTGAGCTGAAGCTGCTGTCTCACACAGAGGATCACAACCAGTTTCTGCTCAGCTACCCCTCACTGTCAGCCCTCAGTGAACCTACACACTCATCCAGCATCAACATCCGTCCTCTGAGCTACTTTGAGGACGTGACGGCGGCCCTGTCAGCAGTCAGAGACAAACTACAGGACGTCCTGAGAGAGGAATGGACAAACGTCTCACCGACTGAAGTGGATGTTTTACTGTCAGCAGCAAAGCCCACCACCAGAGCTGTGTTCTTCGAATATTTTCAGGAAGAAGAAGAAGAAGAAGAAGAAGAAAGAAATTGGAGACCTAGATTTGGTCGTTTCTAAACTGAAATAGCCTGAAGTCATTTGAGGAACTCTTCTACTTCTTAAACTCATTGTGTGTCCATCATTGTTGCTGAGAGCTGACAATATTCAAGAGTCTTTGTGTGGGATTTTATTATATACATTATTACAATTCCTTATTGCAGACTTACTGTGGTTGTTGTTGTACACATGAACTACTATGATGTTTTATAAAACTGTAAATATAAGTAAATAATTTCTTATTCTGTTTTAAATAGCTGAGATCCTGATTGTGTGGATGAAGTGAATCTGATCATGAAATCATTGAACAAGAGTCATTGAACAGACTTTACTGATGGGATGTGTGATCAAATTAAATGTTTAGATATTAATAAAGGTTTTGGATTTTTCAAATATAAACAAAGGATGTTGTATTATTTCCACGGTGCCATACATCGCTGATGGAAAACTCACAGTTGCTTTGTACACATAATAACACATACATGCTGAGTGATATGGTATAATGCAGTACTACTTATTATCTACACAGTGTCTACATTTCGTCCACATTTACCAACTACAATACTCTTATAAAATGCTCTTATATGTAAAACAGGATAAAACAATAACCATAATAATACTGTGAAAAGACACATTCTGCATATGGAGTAGTCACCAGCAGAATGAGTACTTTTACTTTTTGTACTTTAAGTACATCTTGATGGTGTTTGTAATTGTTCTTAAGTAAAGGATCTGAGTACTTCTTCCAACACTGCCAGAGAGGTTGTGCTTTGATTGACAGGTGTGCTTTCTCCTCAGCATCCAAACTCATTGTGAAGAATAGCTCGACGCGTGCAGCTTCACAAACTGCAGCGGCGTGAAATGAGCTTTAATTTCTGCCATTTATAATTTATCCCTTTAAAATGATCCAAGGCAACATGTTCTGTTTCATTTCAGGAGAATCATGAGTATTGAAAATCCCTAATGTGCGGTGGTCTAGTCGTTTCCCTGTCCAAACAAAGTGTAACATAACATTTTAAAACAAAGGGCACACAGTTAATATGGAGCCTGCATTCTCAAACATAATAATTTAGAATTATAAATGTTTAATGACAAACATAACAAGAAAGAATGCAATACAGTACAAAGACATGTATGTATGGAAATGTGTCTGTTAGCTAAGCGTAGTCCATTGTAAATAATATTTTTTACTAAGCTGACATTAAGTACTGTTAATATCTATACAGGTTTTTAATTGCACTGCTCTTTTAGCTGACATTTAATAAATACAGGTACATTTTTAGCAGCTATTCATACTAAATCAGTTGTCCCTCCCCCTGGTGCCAGGACCAACAGATCCATCTTTAGGCTCAGCAGCCCTGTCCCCCCAGCGTGCTGAACCTGAACCAGCTTTTCTCCCAACTGAAGGAGGTGAGCAGCATTGTGTTGAATGCCATGCCACGTAACATATCTGAAGGGAGACTGGAATACAAAATATATATATATATATATATCAAAACAAAAAGCTAACATCTAATTTCAATTACACATTTCAAACACAGTATTTTCCACATATTTAAGTTATATTTATTTGGATTTATGCATTCATGTTGAGAATGTTCCATTCAAAAATGTTATTAAAAATGCATTTACACCATAAAAGATGACTATTGAGATCTATTGTCAGGAATGTTAGTCTTATATCAAATAGTGAATTCTACAGCAGCAGAATGTTGCACGTCTGCACAGTGTTATATTTTCACAGCTCAGTGTCAGTAAATATTGTGCGGTTAGTATTGGACTACAAGATAGATGCAAGCCTGTACAGGTAGAGTTATTTAAAGCATAAATTAGTCGGTTGGGTTCTGGAGGTGTGATTACAGCAATTGTGCTTGGTTGGCGTGGCCTGGGCCTGGTGGTGGGGCCCAATGTGATATCTTTTCATGGTGTCCAAAATCCCTGGCGTGTATGGCCAGAGGGCAGGACCTATAAATACATTTACTACCCAATAGCATTGTGAGGCTGAACAAAAGGACCTTTTGACTATGTAAATGTAGTCTTTTAAAAAACCAAAAAATGTACTGACTTTTTTAGGATAGCTTAAAGTAATGTTGTAAAATTACAACCGGGGGCCTTACAGGGTTAAGGGCTATTGTTTATTGTTATTTACTTTAAGATGTTTATTCTTAAATGGTGAAAGACCATTTGCACCTGAGCACGCGCTTGTGTGCGATCGCGCATTTCAGTTTGGCTCCAGCCAACCACAGAGCTGCAAAAGCTGAGAAAACACAACAGACCTGACTGACCTCTCTTACAATGATCATAAGCCATTCGCCATTTGTCACCCAAATGTGTCAGAAGCCAGTTCATCCAGCGTGTGGTGTGCGTAAAACATCAGTGTCGCTTTGTTTTCTGGTTCATTTGGTGCTCAGAGCAGCATGGTGGGAATCCTGGGACTGAGCCACGGCTGTGCTCACACACTCCAGAGAGCTGCCACATTGTGAGGATATGTGTAAGTGTGAGCTGTTGTAGCCTTTGCAGGTGGTTGGAGAGCTTAGAATAAGATTTAGAGGTCTGCTGGTTTGAGTAAGGAAAACATTAATGAGAAATGTCTTGTTTGTGTTAATTCAATTAGTAAAAAGGAAGTTTATTCTGCTGCAAAACTGTACAAATAATTCCAAACAAAGAGATGGAGAGAAACCCGAAAGGAGGATATGATGGAGATGAATCTCAGTGATGAGACCTGATACCTGAATGAGATTAAAGCAGGTGGCTGTGAAACCCTTTTATAACCTCTATGCTTATGTTCTCCTCTTATACAACATATTGCCACCTGATCCTCTCTTTGATTCATCTTTTCTGTATTTGATTGAATATATTTTGTGTATTGTATTAGCTTTCCTGCCTTTTCTTATCAAGAAAGCAATGTAATAAACCCTTTCTGCCTTCCTTTGAGTTTAACTCTGCCTCATACCATCCATGTAGACCTCTATGACACTCTGTCTCCTACTAATCATTATGAAAAGTCCTAAAATCAGTAGCGATCATTAAGGTGAGCTGGAAAGGCAGTCGGCTGTAAGACAGGAGAGGAGGAGAATGAATTTATAATTAAATGTTGAAGTATATTTGTCACACTTCTTGTACAGTTGTTTCCCTGTTCTGGGATTCAACTGTTTTGCAATAATGGATTGAAAGGTGTTCCCTCAGTTATCCCATAACTTCTGATATTGAATAAAGCTTTTTTGTTTTATTTTTTATTGACAGGCTTGTTCTTATTGAGTTTGTGTTTTCTTCTGGCGCTGCTTGCATGTTTCCATCATTTTGTTCTGCTCTTGGTTTCTTTGTTTGTTGTCTTTCGATCAATTTCCTTCCCACAAAGTTTGCAGTTGAATGCATTGCATACGCTGCCGTGGATGCTTGCCCACATGGGACAACATAGCATTCTCACAACACAGCAAATAAAATGTAATTTCTTTTGCACCCTTGTTTTTAAATTGATGATAGTTTATCAACTCTCAGGGGGCATTTAAGCCGTGACCCTCCATTAATTCCTGTTGATTGATTATTGCCTAATGCACACATGTATAGGCCCTATAGAGAGTCATTCAGATTACGACAGCAATAACCAATAGGAGAGCTGAGCACGGATATCTCCTTCCTGTTTAAAACCACCGCCTCCTCCGCTGTGTTCCTGGAGAACCTGGGCTTCAAAGACTTCATCCGGATCGAACTGAGCTGTAAGAGCTGGAGAATCAAGAATGAATCCAAATCAATCACATTTAAAGGGCGAGTGTGAGTCTTTAAAGCCCTTTGTGTATGGTGGGATTTATAGTATGGCAGCAAGACTTAAATAGACTTAAAGAAGCCCTAAGCTTTTTGGGGTTCCCTTTCCTGTAGTGTGTAATAAACGTCTACCAACCTGACAAAACATGTGCAGGGTTTACTAAAAGAGCTGCATTAGCAAAAACGTTTTCTCGTGTTTTTCTGGGGGAAAAAAAAAAATTATTTTTTTCTTAATTAATTAATGAAAATGAAAATATATTTTTTTCGAAAAATAAGTTATAGTTATTTTTATAATAAAAAAATAGAAAGACTGAGATTTTCACTTTTGTCCCCTTAACTCTTTTATTAACAAGAAAAACCAAAACATTACATTTTTTCCAGACATGTAAATGTGGCACTCATCTCAGATGTTGAAAATAGAAACACAATTTATTACAAACTCAACCTGTTAGCTTTTATTTTTTATGACTTTTCTTTTAATGTGTTTTGTTTCCTTCTTCAAACTTTCATTTATGCATTCAACACATTGAGACTTAGTCAAAAATAAAAGACATTTAGAAAAAAATATCTAAAAATGAAAGAAGCTCTGGTGCTTTCTCTCTTAAGACTCATGCTTTACAAGAGAAACAACAACATACAAATACATCAATATCAATATTCAACAAATATTTAGAGCAAAGTTTACATTTCCATGCAGAGAAATATGAGTTGAGTTCAACAGAAATCCTCCTGAGCAGAGACAGCCTCCATGGCTAAACAGACACAGGAAGGAGCGCCGCCTAAAGAAACTCCAACATCTACAGAACAACTCATGAGGAGATGTTAAAGCACATCCCATAATGTTTGATTGACAGCTGATCTCTGTGCAGTGAAGACATGAACAATCAGCTCTCAGCAACAATGATGGACACACAATGAGTTTAAGAAGTAGAAGAGTTCCTCAAATGACTTCAGGCTATTTCAGTTTACAAAACTCAGCTGTGGCTCCTAAATCATAACCATAAAGCCAAACTCCAGCATGTAGCGGCTGAGTGAATGTGGTCTGGACTCTGTGGAGGAGAGTCATGGTTTCAGAGATGCTGTAGAAG